ATCCCACAGTGTTGGTCGAATTCTATGCACCCTGGTAAGAGTTATTTTTATCCCGTACCTTTGCCACTGCGCAAAATTTTGGTAATAAAATCAGGGCTATTCTCGAAGTCATTCTTCGTAAGCTCCTCATTTTTGAGTTTCGTAGGTTATCTTAACGCTCAAGGTTAGATATTCCTGTGCAGCGCTTGAAAAAATTTTTATTCAAAAATAGCAATTGTTAAATACAAAGGGATCTTTCCAACGTTTTATTATAACATTGTAGAGATTTCTCAGATTTTTGGAATTCTTAAAATTGCCTAAATAGAATCCTTCCAATTTCCTGATATGCAATCGAATGAAAACCTCTTCTGAGCTGTTTCTCTACAGAATGCACTTTTCACTGTACAAGCATCGTATCGTTGAGTATTGCTGGAATGATTTTTTTTTATTGTCCTTGCTATTATTGATATGTAAAATTTACTCAGTTGGTTTTTGTTAATATCGTTTGAATAACTGATTCTAAGCAACCGTCAAGTGAGAGATCCATCAACTGCCTTGCCACTGGGGAATTGCTGTTTGAATTTGCAATCTTCAGATCCTTCTCGATTGCCTCGGCTTCTCATACAAAGTGAACTTAGCAAGGGTTTTGACTTTTGACTTTGATTTAGTGAATTCCATTAAATCGGTGTTAATTTTGATTACCCTATATCTCAGGCCTCTGTCATTTCTGGCGACAATAAAGTACTGAATGTGCGTATTAAAAAAAATATCAACTAAACACGTCAGATAAATGATTAAGAGGGGAAAAAAATAAGATGCTGTACTCGAAATAGGTAAAAATATAACAAAATATTAAATAATTAAATACACTGCTTGGATGGTCTGTGGCATTACTAACCGCCATGGGAACACTGAGTCGATTGTCCGGGCATTATTGGTCTTATGGTTTATTACATTATCAGTCTTCGATTGCAGGTGTTTGCATTGCAAAGAACTGGCACCAGAATATGCAAAAGCCGCCAAGAAGCTCACAGTACCTTTAGCCAAAGTGGATGCGTCTGTCGAAACTGAGCTTGCGAAAAAGTAATTATTTTTACCAGTGCGCGGGGTTTTTTTTAATTTTTAATTTAGGGCAAAGAACGGCCAATTTTGCGAAATTTAAATCACTTCCGAGTCTGAGACGTACTTTGCTTGCATCGAAAATCGCAGTAATTGTGTTATCGGTTTTCTGCAGTGATTTTTTTTAAGTGAAATGAAAATGAAATAGAAGGGAAGGGAGTGGGAAGAAAAGTACTGAAACACAATGCAGTGGTAATGATGGAATGAAATTATGATGAAAATACTTTTCGGCTCAAAAGAGCCGAACTAAAAATCATGCAACAACGATTATTAAAAAGGCTGAAATTTGAAGGAGGCAATATCGAGAGGTTATAGAAAATGGTGGGGGAAGGGGGAGGGAGGAAGAGAGGATTGTTCGAAAAAAAGTAAGCTGAGAGCAGTTTTCTTGCTTCTTAGGTTTCTCTCAGTGTTTTTTCTTAGACAAAACAAGTAGATGCTTCTTTTTGTCGATTTTCGGATGAAATTCGTTAATCCTGCGATTTTCGGATGAAGTTCGTTAATTTAGTACAATTAAATCACACATACATAAGGTTCACTGCATAAATACGCTCTACATAATAATGGCTTGTTTTACTAGTCTTGGTGAATAAGGTGCTGGGGAAAATTTCGAACTCCATTGACAGGATTCTTTTATGTACATGTGTATGTGTGATTATATGTACATATGCATATGAATTTGCATGTGTATATATGCATATTTTTGTTTTGTTTATACATAATCGCAAATATTTTTGTATGTGCTCACTGGGTGGCATTAGGCGCTTATTTCAGGTATAATATCGAGGGATATCCAATACTTAAATTTTGGCAGAACAGTGAAGATCCAATCAATTATGACGGTGAACAGGATGCGGAAGGTAAAATTTATTTTATTTATTAAAATAACTTCGAATTTCATGTTTTGTTGAGTACTGCATTTAACTACACTCGTTTTTGCCTAATTATGAACAGATGAGATTCCAGGTAAGTTACATTTTACCCACGGCTAC